ATAAGAATAGTATAGCATATTTGATGAAGAAAGTGAATATAATTAAATAATTAAAATATATAGCTTGATGCATTATTGTATGGATCGAGATCCAAATATCCCCGACATGTTGCATGGTGAATAAAAAAACTTTGGCCTAGAAAGATAAGGATTTTGCTACTTTGACAAAAAAATTGTAACAGATGCAGTGACATAATGACAACAGATGATTTGATGAGGATGTTGACCGTGTTTAAAATAGTTCAATGACAACACATAATGGCAAATATTTTATCAAGCTTTTGTATTTAATTTTATTTTGCCTATTTAAATACGGAGAGACAAATAAATCTTTTTAGACATTTTAAAGAAATTTTTGACGGAAAGATGTGCAAATTAATAGAAGGTAAATAAATGATACGAATGTGACGAAAAAAAGTTGAGAACATAAGTACAAATATTATACAAGGTTGAGAGTGTGTATTGCAATTAAAATATGATGTAATTAACTAGGAGGGTAGTGTGAATCAATAAAGCTCCAAGTACAGGAAAATTTGAACAGAATTGATATCGACGTTGACGTGGCCGAACTTGATTGGCCTTTTTTTTCAATCTTCCAATGGTGTCACGCCAAGCGTTGTCTGTCAAATTTTTTTATTAAAAAAATATGCACTTCGATTGAGTGTGAATATAATTATCCTAAACGTCAACTAAACAAAAGCTAATTTTAATCAATATGTGGAGGAATGTCCGTTTCACTTCAAATGAATACCCTCAACAAGTTGCCTCATTAAAGTAGTCATTAAAAAGTAAGTGTTACTTAACACTAATAATTTATTTAAAAAGTTTGATTTAAAAATAAAGAAAATGGGATTGACGTGTGAGCATCCACTTATAATATGGGATTGATTGGATTGGATTACGTATTCGATTACGTCTTTGATTGCAACTCTTAATTTTTCTTTTTAAGCATAATTAAAGTCATTTGTGTCTTCATCATTATAAGATTAAAACTCCCATTTTATTTGTACTTTATACAAAACCAATCAAGTTTAGTAAAGAAAAGTGATGTTTTGTGTGGACTTGCTTGTCCACATAAAGAACCACGTTCACCCACCATCAATGATTTCTATTATTTTCTTTTTTTATAAATCGTAATCTAAATTTTAATTTAAGTCAAAGTTAACAATTAATTTTAACCATTTATTTCATAGGATTCACAATTCATCAAACACATAATTCTTCAACTTTTATCAAAATCTAAAAAAAATCATATTTTGATCCCCACCAAACAGGAGCTTATTTAGTAAAGTAATTTTACAATATAAATTGATTAATGTACTATAAACTTGGAGTAATTTATATTAGGTTGCAAATTTTGGTACATTGATGTTGACAATACCCTTTCCAATCAACTACCAGATTTTTGATACATAGAGAGGTGTCAATCAAAGTGTACAAGACTACAAGTAGTTTATTCCTTTATTCTAAATGCTCTATAAATCTCTTATAGTGTGCATAGTAGTTATTGAGTTTTGAGTTTGTTTAAAAGCTCAATATTGTTAAAAAGAGTAGTTCAAATTCTAATATTTGATCATTATTTCCTTTTTAAATGATGTGAAATTTTATCTTATCGTGTTATCAAAAGATGGTGATTTGTTTGAAATACTGCAATCTTGAAATCTAACCACCTATTTGAACTTTAGGTAGATTTACTATATTCGTTTAAGATTTCTTTGAATTTTGATAGTATATCGAATTTTGAAACTCCATGATACGAGGGTTAAAGATTATAGTCTAAAGAGGAGTCATCAATTGAGATTTTGATGAATTTTAAATCCTTTTAAATTAAGGTATTTCCAGTTGGTGTCCCAACTGAAATTTGAATGGATTTTAATAAAATTCATTAAAATTTAGGTGTGTTCAATAACTCGTGCAGGGATTTCAAGTTTAAAATATATATATAACAATTTTTATTTTATTTTTTCAAATTTCACCATTTTTAATGACTTATGGATTTTGTGAAAATCTATTTAAATTTTTGAAATTCATTAGAATTTATAATATTTTAAAATCTTAGTTAAAGAGATCCACATAAACTTTTATGGGACAAGTATATATACATATACATCTTCTATATATTAAAAGTGGCTATGTAACGGAATTTCTTGTTTTTAACGGAAAAACTAACGGAATTTGTTGTTTTAACGGATTATGTAACGGAATTTCTTGTTTTAAACAGGCAGNNCGTATAGTAATCAATTAATTGTTGTCTAAATCTTTCCTATTCGGTCTTTACATTTCTCTCTCATGTACATCATTGATTTAATTTGCTATTTCCGTTGAATTTTATGCATATTTGCTTCAAAATATCAGTTGTTTGTTGATTATTGCTAGTGATGTCAATTGAGCCGAGCGGCTCGTCGACTCGATCACTCGGTTCGTACTGTTCATGCCCACGAGCCGCTCCGGCTCGTCTAAAGACGAGCCCGAGCCAAGCGGACCAGTTCGTAGACGAGCCGAGCGCTCGTGCGAACGAGCCCACGAGCCGTGGGCTCATGATAAAACATTTAAAAAATAAAAAAAAACTAAGAATAACTAAAAAAAAAAATTTACGAGCCACGAGCCAAGCCAAGCCGAGCCGAGCCGGCTAGTGAGCTCGCGAGCTCATGGGCCGAGCCGAGCTCGCCCCACAAGCAAACGAGCCACAAGTGGCTCGGCTCATGAGCTCGTGGCTCGTTTCTCCACGAGCCACGAGCCACGAGCCTGAGCCGAGCTCGTGGCTTAAAGGGCCGAGCCGGCTCGACTTGGCCCATTGACATCACTAATTATTGCTTGATTATGCTTTTAAGCGCTTATAAATTATAACTTCTATAGAATGTGTGAATAATAAATCTACATTAAATTAATTTTGAAGGATTGCTCAATTGATCAGATTTTGGATTTGCTCCCCAATGGTCACCAATTCGAATCCCCTCAGGATCACAGAGGTAAGTACCTGGCCCTGACCGTAAACTTTAGGGCCCCGTGGGATTAGTCGAGGTGCATTCAAGTTGGCCCGTACATCCACGATTATCAAAAAAATCTCATTAAATTGTCTATCTTACAATATATTTGATTAAAAAGTCTTGTAAAATAGAATAATGTTATGTAGCACTACTAATTCTAAAACACCAAATTACATATTTAAGTAGTAGATTATCTTTAAAAGGACTCATATCCATACTTTAAAAATGATATATAAATTAATAACGTTTAAATACTATTTAAACTAATGCTTAATATGGTGCTAATTAACATTATTCATCAAATATGCACTATGTTTCTTGAATAGGTGTGTGATTCCTAGCTAATGGAATTACCTTTCCCCTCCACGCAATAATGACAATGTTCAAGTACGAGCAATATTCAATAAATAAATGTTTCTTTAATCATTGTAATTTCAAATTTCAAATTAAGTGAGTTAATATGGTATTTAGCCCTATTTAGTCTAGATTAAATTGATTTTTTTAGTAAATTTGATAAACGTTAATAAAATATGTAGTTGAAAAATTATTGGTCCTATAAAATTAATATAATATGCAGGTAAACAAATGTACCAAAACAAAATATAAACAAATTTCCCACTGTTTGTATCATCTAATCGGTGGCTCTTGGGTAAAGAATATGATTTATGAAATTCAATAATTATCTGCAAAAAAAAATAGGAATTATTGCAGCAGCGGTACTAAACATTTCATTAAGTGACTTTATCCAAACATTTTATTTGCGCTACCCACGGTACCAAACCTTTCAAAATGTTGCAACTGAAGTTCAAATGGAAGGTTTCTGGTAGTTTAATCATTAGTTGACCAAATATTTGACATTGATAATAATTTTGACTAATTTTAAAATGTTAAAATTGTAATTTTACATTTTTTTTTTTATAATAAAATATCTTAAATCAAATAATTAAAATTAAAGATCCATTTCCACCTTCTTCTTCCCCACCCCAAATCTGCAAATCCCAGGGAAATCAAATTTCTTCCCAGTTTCTTGCAATCTTCGCCCCCATCTCCATATTCAATTACGCAGTGTGCCTTTGACCTTTGAATTTTTATCTTTCCCAAATTATATTATGAAAAATATGATGATTTTGCAAAGACTTCAAATCACATCGGCCAACATTAAACGCCGCCGGGAAATAATCTTTCACATCTTTTTCTCTTCTTTCAAGAAATCCTAATTATACCAACCCATTTAATACTACATAAGTGATATTTGCTTGAGTAATGCTATTCATCCCCACTGAAAATGAAAACACATTCTATGTGGCGTCTATGTGACATTAAATGATATATGAAATTAAATAAGTCACCTTTCATTTAACCTATTATTTAAAGCCACATGGACTGTGTTTTCATCCCCATTAGAGATGAATAACGTTACTCTATTTGCTTTATTCCTTGTGTTGTTGTATCATCAATATTTATTACTGGGTAGTTTTTCAGTTCAAACTTAGTGAAGAAACGAGTACCGCTATTAAAGTTATTATTTTAATCTTTTAAAGTTTGTCAAAATTATTGTCAATGTCAATTATTTAGTCAACTAACAGAAACCATTTATTGCACTTCAGCTGCGACATTTTGAAAAATTTGGTATCGTATGTGGTACAAATCCAATATTTGAGCAAATTTTGTTAGTTAATAAAAGGTTTGGTACCGCTACTGCAATTATCCAAAAAATATAAGAAAGAAAAAGATAGTATGAAACACTAGCTAGTAGCCACAATATTATATTTGTCAAACCGAACTTTGAAAGATCATCCACATAATAATTAACCCCAATATTCCATTGTTTCCATATCTTCCTAAATTATTCCTCTAATAAATTTAATTTACTACAAAATGATACATAGAGATCATAGAGTTTGTCCGGTTTTAGAGTACTCGATAAATAACTGCCTTTCTCGATAGCATGTAAAAACTTACTGTCGAAAAAATAAAAATAAAAAACTAAAACCGTGCTAATGTTTAATTTTTTTATGAAATTATTGATTGATGCGTTATATGTTCTCCATTAATGGATGTAACGTTATTGCATGGCCATGAAGAGGAATTTAACTGCTGCTGAAGCTGCCGGACTAGCAGTACTTGACGTATGTCCCACAATCTCTGCCGGAGCACGACGGATTCTGACTGGAGGCGTTCATTTTCTCTCCTTACAATTTGGTCGTTATACAATATCAATCTCAGCCGGTTCATAAGTTCCTGGTTTCCAATCCTAATGCTGTTAACTTTATTCCTCAAGTTCTCCAAATCTTTCTGTTTTCGCATTCGAGACCGCCTTGCTGACTCCCGGTTCGATATCATTCGCCTCCGTTTTCGCTCATCAATTATGTCACCTGAACGTTTAGTTTTACCAGAACCCGAGCTTAACTTTTTGGATCTAACCGAACCGGAATTTCGGGGTTTTGAGTTATCCGAACCGGGTTTGGAAATAACCGGTTCTTGGGGTGGTTCTAAAATGACCGCAGGTTCATCCTGCGGCGGAGGAAAGATAAACGGCGGTTCTTGGGAATCCCAAGGCGGGAGACCACCTTCAAAGGCGGGGAGTGGGTTTCTAAAGAAGGATTCTGATGCTGGAGAAGTAGACAACATGGCCGGAAAACCGCTTATAGGGGGTGGGGGAGGTTAGGAGGAGTAAAGGGAAGAAAGGAGTGGTGAGAGGGTGGTATTTATGGACGAAAATGGGGGTACAACTGTGGGTCCCATTAAGCTTTTGAGTCAGCTCCCACTAGTAGTGGTGGGCTAGTAGACTAGGCTTTTCCAAAGAGTACATGGGCCTTGCGTATGGAATGGGGCCCGTTCAGGCTTAGTCATGAAGGAATATTTTATGCGGGTCCCATTTTAAATACGTTTCCATCATTTGGAGCTAACCGCTAAGAGTCATGTTACTAGAACAAGGTTGGTTATAAAATTGATTTACAAAATACGTGTTGACAACATCTTGACCAATTATTTAAAAAGCAGTTTTTGAAATCAATGATCTAAATTTTGCTACATCATTTTGTCAACATACTTTTGTAAACCACATTTGTACAAACAGTATAATTGAACTGATAATAGGTTTGTCGGCTTCAGCTTAATGCGCTGATATGAATGGAGAGTTGTCAAAGCTCATGAGCTTTTGCTTCAATTGGCTTCACGGCTTACAGATTTATAGTCTCACCTCATCGCTTTATTCTATTTTTCTTTTTCCTTAAACATCAACAATGTACATTTGTTAAGACCATGTTTGGAGAAGATTAAAATAAAATTTTTAGTAAATTTTAATAGAAGTTGATGAAAAATGTGGTTGAAAAATTGTAACACTCATAAAATATGAGATTAAAATTAATTGTTGATTTTCACTTTTAATTTCTATCAAACAGGTGCTAAGTTTCTATTTGGACCTCGTTATTTAAAGGATAAAAATACTTTGCTAGAAGGATTTGACAAAAAACATGACATAATTGCACGTGGCAATAGATGATTGAGTGAAAAAGCTGACCTTGTTTTAAATTGTCCAATTATAAAATGTCACATGATATTCTGTCAACATTGATATTCATGTACCATGATTGTTATTTAAAATGTTTTTCTTTCAAATTTATCTTCAATCACACATCTCATGAGAATTTTTATACGAAATTTTTCTATGTATTGAGATGTGAAGAGCTTTATTTGGAAAAATAGAAGGAACATGTATCACATGTATACAATCTAAGAACGTCCCACGAGAATATTCTATCGTAACGGTATGGAACTTGTGACATGTCTATTTGTGTCAGAGGTACAGAATGTGTAACTCATCTTACCACCTTATGTAAAAATCGTTGGTAATACACAACATATAGTCGGCTTGACAGAACCTTAGTATAAATTTTGTTTTTCTCCCTAGCTTTGCCGCTGAAGATTCAGATCTTCATTATTGATGGTTGGAAACTCACAACCAGAAAGATTGAGAATTTAACCCTAATTTTCCTGTAGAGTCATGGCAGAAGCACGAAGTGAGGGGCCTCTCTGTTTGCCTCGTTACCTAAACAAATCGTTCCATGTGGACTTTAATTTCGAAAAAGGACTTTAGGTTATTTACAGTTTTTAGAGAGCTATTGGGTTAGATAAAGAGCCTTTTGGACACTGCAAATGCAAAGTCATTATCCCACCTTTATTTTTTTTTGAAAAAGTAATCATAAAATTTAAGTAAACCATTGGGACACGACAACTCACCCAGTCCAACACGAGTTGTGCTCAGCCTTTGTTTTCTTGTACAGCCAAGATTCAATTCGCCCCTCGTTTTTTCTAGATGAAGTGATCATATTTCTTGACTATCATAGTAAATTAAGATTTTATTTTTATAGTGAAAAGGGAATCACATTAGAACTTACCTAAGAAGAAAGCAAATGCACAACTTTATTGCTAGGTTGAAATGGTTAGCACGAGGCCGACAAGACTAGATTTCCTCTTGCTGTTCTAATCACATGATCACCATACTCAAATTAAGGATGCCTTTGTTTTATTTTTGCTTCTTTTCATTACTTTTTGGAACATCCTTATCTCCTACCTCGTGGGATCACATTTAAATGCATATCTTTTGTTGATCTTATTACTTATTTTGATTATCATCAAAGACTGACACATATTTTTGATAGAATAATTCTACTTGTATATAAGGAGTTATATAAAGTTTTTACAGATAGATGATGTGTCAAAAAATGATTTTGTTAGGGGTACATAAATTTTCATATAATGGTTTATATAATTACACGTGACACATATTCAACATTTAATTCAAATCTCACACTTTCACATCAACTACCGGATGATTGTCACATCACATTATGTATCTGGCCTTATGTACAACAAGCATTATCCGTCAAAAAATGAGTGATTTTTTTTATTTGATTGAAGAAATTTTGATTAAATCATATCTCACAACAACATGTGTATACACAGCAATCTGTAAGTTGTGATATATATTATATATATGTACCATAACCGTTCTTGATATGATCCCTTGAAAAAATATATTAGAATTTGGTACACCTAATTGAATCCTAAAGTGCTTTTCACATGATGATCCCTTTCAGGGGCGGACGCAGACAATTAAAGTTGGGGGGCACTACATCCAAAAAAATCATACCCCTTGTAATTTTGCATCCGAAAAGTTACATGTAATATGACTTTTTCGGATGTAAAATTTCGAAAATTTTTGATATCATATCCTATATAAATTTCCTAATAAAATAATGCAAATTATATTGAGAAATTTTTATCACAAAAATAATAAATGTTAATGAAATAATTAAATTTTTNTCTTGTTACCATCACCGGATCAGTTCGGGTTGCCGCACAACGCCCTCAGAGAAATCAAATCGAAGTACCTCTATGAGGGAGAAGGTCTTCATTGATTTCGCCCATAGATGGGATCTCAATTCCTCGTTTTTGACATACTACCCACGAGGAAAGTGTCGTTTGTTGCTTTTCCAATAAAGAGGGAAATGACCGATTGAATGATCTTTAGTGCTCTCGTCGTAGAAGGAACGATAACCTTCAAAAATATGTTGTTAAACATGATTCTTTTTGCTTTAATGTCACTTGTGCTTACCTTAATTTCTTCTTTCTCCCTTGTCCTCACTACGAAAGGGATAAAACTATTTGTACATAAATTTCGTTACCGAAAATGTTACACCCTCTCACGTGATTGCTTTAATGTCACTTGTGCTTACCTTAATTTCTTCTTTCTCCCTTGTCCTCACTACGAAAGGGATAAAACTATTTGTACATAAATTTCGTTTCCGAAAATGTTACACCCTCTCACGTGTGCGCGGGGCCCGAGTGAATAAAAAACTCCCAAAAATATTGTCTCCACACCTTATTGTGAGTGTAGGTAAAAAATTATGTAAAAAAAAGTTATGTACATATAGCATTACTCCTACGAAAATGTAGACTTCAAAATATAGGGATTTCACTCTAAATTTCTAAATTCCTTTTCCATGGGAATTAGTAACAAATTTGCATATTTACACAATCCATTGCCAATAACATCCTTGCTAGTGGCACGATGACAAAAGGTATATCAAGATGCTCAAGTCAAGCAGTATTAGAAGTACTATTTCACCCATTTATGACGAAATATCCCATTTCAACTGTTCTTTGTGCGGTCATTCGATCTTTGCTCTCTCTTTGTTCGAGATCTTGCAATCCCGTGGATTTATAAAAATTGAAACGATTGGAGTCGATTTGACACCACTACCTTCATCCTTACCTCCTTGGCAGCATCTATTTCTCTCCCTCCTCATCTATTCCCACTAATATTCCCTACTATCCCCTTGACAACCATTGAAATGCTTCCACATAGGAAAGGTCATAATGGACAAAAACATCGAGCTTAAGGTAGAAGGGTGAGAGAGGAATATAATGATACGTCCAATTAAATGTATCTCAATATTTAATTAAATCTATCATTTAATAATAGTGTAATGTCATTGGACGCGAAACACGTTCTACATGACATTATTCTAGTTTTATTAGTTTATGTGACTGTGGCATTATTATTACAAAATTTAATAAATAAAATTGGATAATATTATAGTGGTACGTAGCCACATCGACCACCAATATTATGTGATTGACAAGCGATAGACTTCTTCTAGCACCATTTTTTTTTCCTTTTGACAATAGGCATCACATTTTTTTATTAAAAAGAAAAATGAGAAAAATTATTCTCAGCGGCTCGAGTAGTCATCTCTCAAAGAGGACTGTTTTCCGTTTTTAGTCCAGTTAGGTACAAACAACTTGGGGAAAAAATTATCAATAATTAACATTATGTTTTCAAAAGGAAAAATTGGAGTTATGGTACCAAACTTTACTCTTTTATGCATACTTAACCCAAACGTTTAATTTGTAGCACTCACGGTACCAAATCTTTCAAAAAAATTCATCTACGGTCCAAATGAATGAAAACTGTTAGTTTGATCGTTAGTTGACCAAAAATAAAAAATCTGACCAAATGTTGACCATTTTTTAGGGAACTAAATAAAAGAACTAAATAAAAAATAAATAAAATGAAAATACCGTTCATCTTCAGTCCCACACCCAAACCCAAACCCAAACCCAAATCAAAAATCAAAAACCACAAATTCTTACAGTTGAATCCAACTCCACTCATCCATCATGTCACAACCCAACACCAACATTATCCCATTCGCCACCATCATTTACCTCTCGCCAACCCCCAAATTTACCACTCCGAACACAATCACCCAATTTCTTTTCGGAATTTCGCCGTTTTACTCTCATCAATCGTCAGTCTCCCACTCCCTTATTTCCTTCCGCCAACTCCTCCAGCTACCGCTATCTCCTTCGGCATCTGTAGTAGTTGTTTCCCCACCTTAATGCACGTTTTTTTCTCGAAGTAATAAAGCCCTAATTTAGAATGGTTGAGAAGGCAAAACAAGAAATTTGCAAAATTCCCATTAGCACTCGTTGGGCAAATGTGAATTATTTGGATGGAATCTTTTGGTGGCAGTGATGCTTGATGGATGGGGTTTTGGGGGTTTAGGTGGTTTTTTAATTTTTGGTGTGAGAAGAAGATGAACAACGTTTTCTTCTTTTTGACTTAATTCTTTTGTTTTAGTTTTTTATATGTAATATATAAAGTTACATGATATGTACGTTTTTACATACTTATTTTACTGTCAAAACATGAGCGATTTTTGATTAATATGTTGGAATATAGCTTAATTCTATGCAATTCATGTTTTGCAGGACAAGTGATGAATGTAGCGGAAATAATGAGAAACAGGTGAAAATGACCAAAATGGAAGAAATTGAAAGTTCAGGGACTAAAGTGCAAATACTCAAAAATTATGTTTAGGCTCACGATGAAGGTTCGAGAGTGATAAGGGTAGATTGGAAGCAATTAGAAGTTAAAAAGGAATGAAATATTATCAAAATCAATTTTCAATTCGCACAAGATATATTTCAGATTTTTAGCTGAAAATTGAGACTCATTTTTAGTATAGTAAAAGTCCGAGTTGGAAAAGATCTATTTCTAACAAAGTTGTAGATATTTGAGTTATATTTCTAACGCATTTTGAATCATCTAAATTGGATATCGGAAGAGAAAGTTATAATCAAATTACTGACTACTGTGCAGAGACAAAAAAATTCGCGCGCGACAGCAACTTTCCTTATTCGATTAGAACTCTTTTGGAAACCAACTTGAACGTGATTTTCATCCAATTTCTGACTCTTACAAATATTCAACAGCAGAATACATATGGAGGAGGCCCCCATACACCATTCTTCTTCTCTTTGACTCAAGAAACTTATGGAGAACTAAAACTCTTGGTGAAGCTACAAGGAACTCATTTGGAATTGGTGATTTCATATCTTTTATTCATTTAATTTGATCTTTTCATTGTCAAACAATATTAGAATTTAAATTTTCATTCTCTTGAATTTATATTGAAATCGGTTTAATATTTACAAGATTTTTCATGGATTCAGTCATACTTTTTCCATTGTTCAATCAAACTATTTATTGAGTTTCAATTTCAATTATTTGTTGTTAAGATTGATTTAACAATTATTATATCTTTCATAGATCCAGTCATGTTTCTTCTATTGTTAGATTAAACTAGTTGTTGAATTTTAATCTCAATTTCACTTTATTGGCGGATTGATTACTGCCTTATGCTTGATGTATATGGTCGATCTTTGATCTTATTCCAATAAAATTGTGCAAATATGTTTTAAATCTAAATTTTAGAATTACATTTGTAAATTAAATTGGTTTTCATGATATATTTTCCGATTAGAGTGTCGGGATGAAAACCTCTAATTGTGTTATAAAAATGTATAATTGATATGATTGATCCAATCCAATTGAGGGAATTCTGACGCTTCACTGCTTCAAATTATTGATTTTAATTTCACATTTCAACATTAAATTTTATTACACATTTGATAGAACAATTCAACATTTTTAATTATTTAAATATTCTTCTATCTCCCTATAGATACGACACCCCAAAGTTGTGCTACAACTACCACGTAATCATTACATTTTTACATTTTTAAAATTGGCCGTCAATTGGTTAGACTTTTGATTTTTGGTCAACTAACAGTTAAACTAACAATTTTCATCCATTTGAACTCCGATGCGAATTTTTGAAAAATTTGGTACCGTGAGTGCTACAAATTAAAGGTTTGGGTCAAATCTGCATAAAAAACGAAATGTTTTGTAATGTGGCTAAAATTTTTCCTTTTCAAAATGACCAACTTTTCATAAATTGCAAAAATCAGGTCATTTCAAAATTGAAATTCTTAATTTTAATAAGATTGTGATGCGTAACCAATTTAGTGTGTTACCAAAATTAGTAAATTCATTTTTGGCATATATGCAACAATATTCTCTCTATGAATAATGCTACTTGTATGTAAGTAGTTACGTAATGTTTTACATATAATTGAGGTGTAAAAAAGAGAGTAGTGGAGTTTTTTTTTTAATTTGGTTGAAGAAATTTTGGCACAATCATATTTACCACATTATGTATATGTAAACAGTTGTATAAACCTATTATGTACATGTAGTACAACAGTTCTCTCTATAATCTCCCCTACAATTTTTCATACTACCGAACATTGTGACCGATGATACTCGACCGGTGATGCAACATCTCAGCAAACACACATGAAGTAACAAACCTTCAATGATTGCAATCGCAATAAGCGACTTCTTAGACACATTCTAGAAGTTTTTTGAACTGACATTAACATTGAAAATCGTACAAATGTTCATGCTAACAGAAGAGCGGATCCAATACCAAGACAACTTCTTTCTTAGAAAGTGCAGCAAGTACTTAAGAATTTGTGGGATATCATGAAGTCATAATGCATTAAAACGGTCACAACAAAATTCTTAAAACCTAGGCCAAATGCTGGAAAGATGCGATGTCACGTATTGCGTAACTTCAAACTTTTTTGGGATATGGAAAGTGAATGAAGAAGGGGTTTGAAATTCACTCTTTTCAGCCACTCATCCAAAGTCCAGTCTTTTCACCTAGGCCTAATCGGACATAAAGTCTAGAGCCCAACATGGCTAGGAAAAATTACATAGATCAGGTGTTTAAACTTCAAAGTGCAAAAATCAGGCATGAAGATGTTTTAATCAAAATTCAGGTAATTAAATATTATACCACCCAAACCCTAATTTTATTTCATTTCTCATCATTCTCTCTCTTCATTTCTCTCATTTCTATACACATCTAAACCCTAAAATTAATTCACAAACCACATCTCCATTCTCTATACCGTCACCACCATCTCTCTACTGTCAACCTGCTGCCGTCGTCGTCGCTGCAGCGACCCGCCGTCTCTCTATTTTTGATGGTGTTGTTCCATGAATGGGGATGATCTCCACATCCGTTAATATATTGTGTTTTGCTGCAAAATCAATCATCTCTTGGGTCTCTTTCATTCCTCCTATCCCACTGCCGGCTATTAACTTTCTACCTGTAGTCCATTGTGGATGTTTAGCAATATTGTCAAGACCAGACTTGGCCTGACCGGCAGGTCTGACCGAGAAACTGGGAATCGCGGAAATCAGTTTGGTAATAGAATAAAAACAAGAAATTTAGAAACCATGAACATAAACACCATACCATACAGGTCGTTCACCCCCATATTTTGCTTTTATTTTAGCATAGGTTCAACTCGCTGAACCTTGACCTTTTTATGAGGTCGATACCCAAGCCAATTTCTTAAATATTGATGTTCAGACATTATTTTTTTAGCAAAAGTAAAACCCCCTTCCTCCCCCTACTTTTTAACTAATTGTCGTGGCGGGGTCTGTGACCAACTATTTGGTCAATTTGTGACCAAGTATTGGTGGTCGAAAGTGATATAGTGGTAGTGGCGGTAGTTTGTGATCAAATGTTCGGTAATCTGTGACCAAATGTTTGGTAATTTGTGACAAATTACTCAATTGTGACCTAAAAATTTAATGATATGTGACCAACTAATTTAAAAATCCATGATCTCGAAATAATTTGTGATCAATTAATTTTAAAATACGTGACCTGTGACTTATAATTATGTATATGTGACCATTAATTATATAATTATGATTTTATTATATTTAATTAATAAACTAAAATCTGATTTTTACATTAGTCAAACTTAAACTTGATTTTTGAATTGTGTATAGTTAATCCCTGACATTTGAACTCTTCCCTTAATCATCTCCTAGAATCCATCCTGATTGTTGGGCCAATTTTCACCTTGAACAACCCATCTGCCTATCAGGCCCACTATGAAAGTAATTCAATCCTTTTCCAGCCCATTAAACTGCCCACACCCTGTAAAACCAGAGGAAATACCTGTGAGTGGCTTTTCAAAACAGCCATATTTCTGAATTGGCCCTAACCGTAAACCCTATTACGTTTCCTTCTCCCTCTCAACTCCAATCCAAACTCAAATCTCTTTCTCCTCGTCAATGGCGAAGTCGAAGCTAAAACCGGAGAACACTACCGTAATTCAACACCTGGAAGAAAATAAACCACAAGAACAAGTAGGAAACGAACACACTAAACAAGAAGAGGACGAAGAAGAGAAGAATTTCGAAGAATTGGGCGTCGACCCCCGTCTAATTCGGGCACTATCAAAAAAATCCATAGAAAAGCCCACTCCAATTCAGCGCGTCGCAATTCCTCTTATTCTAGTAAATTTTGCTTCTTTTTATGTATCCAATTAGGTCTCTATTTTAACTCTTTAGCTTGGTTTTTATAGTGGGCTTTGATTGTACAGGAAGGTAAAGATGTTGTGGCCCGAGCAAAAACTGGTTCCGGGAAAACCTTTGCGTATCTTCTTCCTCTGCTTCAAAAGCTTTTCTCGGATATTCCTTCGAAAAAGAACCTTGCTCCCACTGCATTTATTCTCGTTCCGACCCGGGAATTATGCCAACAGGTATTGTTTTTGCTTTCAATTTAATTTAGAAAGAAAAAGTTGATCTTTTATGTGGGATTTGTTGTATTGGTTGGTTTTGTTCAGGTGTATTTGGAGGTGATGTCATTGATCGAGTTATGTAGAGTGCAATTGAAAGTTGTTCAATTGACTAGCGCCATGTCTGCTTCTGACTTGGTAATTTTGTTTTATTTTAGTATAATTATTTAACAGTTATGTCGATTATGTAATGGACAATATTCTTATTAACGTTTTTTGGCTGCAGAAAACGGCATTAGCAGGACCGCCTGATATACTTGTATCAACTCCTGCTTGTATACAAAAATCGTTGTCGAATGGCATTCTCCTAGCTAAAGCTATTCAAGATTCACTTTCAGTTCTTGTGCTGGATGAGGTGTGTGCTTTATTTTACTTTAATTTTTTTATTTCAAAAATTTGAACATTTTTAGGGATTTCTTTGGGGAGACAATATAATTTCAGCCAAGAAATTTAATTGTGTTATTCATTTAAAAATTGTAGATGATTTGAAAATTTATTTATTTTTAGCTCTACCATCCTCACTGCAATTGTCTTGTACAAATTTATATCATTTTGTTAAGCAAGAGATTCATGGTTGAATATTTCATATCAGGCAGACCTTCTTTTGTCGTATGGATATGAGGATGATCTAAAAGCTTTTACAGCTCATGTACCCAAGCGTTGTCAGTGCCTTCTCATGTCTGCTACTTCTAGGTGCGTTTCACATTTATTGCTACTGCATCCATGTACCGAGCTTATGGAGGAGGTACTTTGAGATTCAGATTCTAATTGTTCGTGAATGTGTCAACAATTAATATGTATCCTATATTTTTGGCTCTTTAATTGAAAATCCACATGATTATTCAGCCAAAAAGTGTGAAAGTTGCATTTTATTTGTAGTGTTTGGAAGTGGGATAAGTTTCTTTATATGGTCTTGTTTGATCCCCATTATTTTAAAAATTCAATTTTCTCTCATTTTCAACCACACATTTTTCAATAAAATAATATTACACGCAAGCTCAAAACTTTTCCTTATTTTCTAATTACACATTCTTCATCAATTTACCGTTCCAAAATGCATTTTTCAATAAAAATAGAGTTCAAACTGGCTTTATATGTTTTAAACGAGGTGGTGCTAGTTCACAATTCACAGTCCCTGTTTGGAAGCTATTAAAATCTATATTTTAATCTAAGTCAAAGTCATCAATTAATTTTAGCTACAAATTTCATGGCACCCACAATATTTCAGCCACACATTTCATTATTTTTTTATCAAAATCTACTAAAAATTAATGCTATCCCCCTTTTAGTATTGCTGGCCTCCTGATTTGGGACATTATTGCCTTGATTGCTACTGTGTTTTGGGCAGATTAGGAGTGTTATGTTAACTCCTCCTCCAGCTTGATGGGAGCTTCTGAAATCTGAACTCATATTCAACTCTTTCCTTCCAAGTTGCATTGTATACAGTGCAATCTATTTTTACATTTTAATTTTGAAAGTTTGTTTGGACCTCATATGTTTTTTTTATTATATGTTAATTAATTGTAGAGTCTAAACAAAATTGTTCTCTGTTTCTCATGCGACCATGTGCATATTTGCAGTGCTGACATCGATAAGCTGAAAAAGCTTGTTCTTCATAATCCCTACATCTTAACTCTTCCTGAAGTGGGAGATGTGAAGGATGATGTTATCCCCAAAAATGTTCAGCAATTTTATGTAAGCACTCATCTATTTCGGGATTCCCCAAAATTCTTTTGTGATTTTTCCTTGTCTAGATTATGAATGCCCTCATATTGGTACAGCTATTTGTTATATATTTGTTCTCATAGAAGAATTCTTTTCTTCTTCACAGGGCTCATTACTAGTTAAAATTTGGAGTCACTCTTGATATTTATTTTATATCAAATTGTGCTTTTCCAATTTATTGCTTCACCATTCACAATCCTGAGAGATTTTTTTGCTTCATTTTGTTCTTGTTGTTATTACTTGTTTAGATTTCTTGCAGTGCCCGTGATAAACTTGTGCATATCCTTGCCCTATTGAAGTTGGAGTTAATTCAAAAAAAAGTGCTGATTTATACTAATACAATTGACATGAGTTATAGGCTGAAGCTGTTCCTTGAACAGGTAGCTTTCTGGTTCTGGTTAGAATCAAAACTTCTTTCTAGTTCTAATTACAATGATGATCATTTTTTTATTTGTGCAGTTTGGGATTAAATCTGCAGTTCTAAATGCTGAGCTGCCTCAGAATTCTCGTCTACACATTCTTGAGGTATTTAATAGTGTGTTGTAGTATATTGAATTTGATCAGATGAAAGCTTGTCTTTTTCCTTTCTTCTTTTTTTTCCTGAGATGCCCCACCTTATTTATCTTGTTATTGTTTCTCAAGTCTTTCAATTTCTTATTTTTTCCCTCAGGAATTCAATGCTGGCCTCTTTGATTATTTAATTGCTAATGATGACAGTCAATCAACAGCGACAGGTCAAAATGATAAGGAAAGTCATGGTGCAGGAAAAAAACCTAAAAAACATCCCAAGAGAAAATTAGATGGAGAATTTGGAGTAGTGAGAGGAATAGACTTCAAAAATGTGCACACGGTGAGCTTATTCTTTGTTAAGTTGTAGAATTTTACTTCAGTATTATATGAGCTCGGAATATTCAATTCAAAATGCAAATTCAATCAGTCTGAAGCCTAAAGAATGATTTGTCTGTATGTTTTGTTTGTAATTGCAAATTTTTTATTTCATATGTTAATATTGGTATCTGATGTCTTCTAAAATACTCATTTTCCTGATGATTTGTTGTGTGAATCTTTTAAATTTGACAAGTATACCAAATTGCACCAAACCTGTCAGGCCACCATTCAACCTCCCAAATGGGATGTCATGGTTTGATTTAGAAGTGATTGAATGATCAAGTTGAAAGATCTAATGTTTCTCTCATTTTACTATTTTATCCCTTGGTACATGATTCACAATAAATTCTGGGACCTATAAGCAAAAAGTAGGATAAATTGATAGTTTAATTATTTGACTAACAAAACAATATGAAACAAATCCCTTAAAAAAAAGAAATTATTTGTGACATCTAAGGAGAGAACATCCATTTTTGAGATAGGAATTGCCTTTCATTTTTTGGCTATGTGGGCACGAAACCCTCTTTCCTCTAGCACTTCTCAAGGGTTGGGTGTTCATGATTGTTGCTGCATTCCAAAGATTGCATTGTAGAAAAATGCCTTTTTTACGTGTATTTATTTTCATTGATCTCCTTTTACTTATGTTGATGAAAAAGTTGACAGGCTGACTGTCCCATCTTACTTTGTTAACATTGCTAAGCAGTATATTTGTTGATAATATACCTTTCTTACTATTTAAATAAACTTATCCCCTCATATAGATAATTGTTCTCACTTTAACAGGTTCTAAATTATGATATGCCTTGGACCGCTGCTGGATATGTGCATCGGATTGGACGAACTGGAAGAGCCTATAACACTGGTGCATCTGTATCTCTTGTAAGCTTCTCGACTATATTATTTTATTTTTCCCTTCTAACCATCATGTAAGGTCTTGTAGGACTCAGTAAGACTACATTTTTTCTTGACAATGACGTAGATATAGCTTGTTTCCCTTAATTATAAGTTATAACAAATATATGATGTATTTATACTGCTATGACATTCTTTTTTCTTTCTGTTTGGATAGATTGGATTATGTTTCCAATATGCCATTTTTATTAATTTAGCTTGTTCAACAGGTTTCTTCTGAGGAGATGGAAATTTTTGAGGAGATTAAATCTATTTTGGGAGAAAATGATGGCGAGGATTCAAAATTTATAGCCCCATTCCCTTTGCTCAGCAAGAATGCTGTGGAATCCTTGCGATACAGAGCCGAGGTAAATGATTGTCGTTTTTTAACAAGTAAAAAAGTTAAAATCTTGAAAAGAGTTGACACCTGCTTGAGCATTTTTTCTGCCAAGGTAGATTTATCTTGCAAGAACAATGGAGCCTATGCTACTGGTACTTTTTGGGAATTGAATATGCAGAAAATGACTTACTGTTTATAGTAATATTGGTATTGGGAAATCTTGGCAAGAAATAAAAAATAACATTTCCCAAAGTTAGGCTTTTTATTAGTTTTCTAGAACAATTTTGAATAATATTCCTGAAAAAAATAATTGAAAGAACATGAATTTGATGAAGTCTTTGGCTTCATGTTTGGGGTCCTGTAATCCTGTTACTGTTTCTGAATTTTCCAGGAGATGTTATATCTGATCCTGATTGTGTGGTTTACTGTCATTTATGGTTCCATGTGTCACCTTTATTGTACTTTCAACACAATAATATAGCCAAATTTATGCTTTACTCTATGGAAGTGCAAAAAATTGACCTGGTGGCTTGCAGGATGTTGCAAGGAGTGTAACAAAAATTGCTGTCAGGGAATCTCGCGCACAGGATCTAAGAAATGAAATTCTGAACTCTGAGAAGTGAGTTATCTTCTGAGAAGAGCTTTTTCGAAATAATGTGGTCGTTCTCCACCATTATTTTCTTCGTGTTTCTCCACTCTTAGTTAGAGACTCCTTTTAGGTGTATAGTTTCACAATTGACATCTAAATCTTAAACGTAACGCATTTTATTTGCAAGTCTTAAAATCCAAATTATTGTTATCTGAATTACTGCTATTTTATTGTCTCAGCAAAAATAAAAATAAAAAAATAAAAGAAGAAGGTTATCTAGCTAGCTTCATGTAACATATCTGAATACACAATCATGACTCTTTTGCGAGTTATACGCCTTGAACCATGATCCTTAATCACGTATTGTGTAATGAACAGCAACATGCAAATTAGCACTAGGAGTGCTTTACTTGCTTAAAGTGACACTTGTTTCATGACAAAGCATAATTTACATTTTTGGATCCTTGGTTTATTAAGAAGTACTGAAATTGAATCACCTGTAGTAGGATAGAGCCCATATTTGAAAGTAAAGCTTACTTTAAGAACTGCAACTGACGAGTGTCTAATTTTCCTTGTGCCCTAATTACTACTTCCTTGGTTCTGTTTAGGTTGAAGGCTCATTTTCAAGACAATCCAAAAGACTTGGGTAATAGCTTTGTAATATGATTTGTAAAGATTCAATAGCTCACCAATCAATGAATCATTAAATGACAATGCTTGGTTTTTTATCAGATCTTTTGAAGCACGACAAAGTTCTGAGCAAGAAGGACCCAGCTCCCCACTTGCATGATGTGCCTGAGTATCTTTTGGACCCAACAACACAGGAGGCTAGCAAGATTGTTAAGCTTGCTAGAGCTGCTATGGGAAATACCAACCCAGTTCGTCGAAAGGGGTTCAAGGGGAAATTTAGAAGTAAAAACCCTCTTAAAACCTTCTCATCTGAGGTATTGTGAGATCTTATACTCTTACGATCGTGTAGTCTATCTTATTTTTCCATTTATTGTAATCATACACCATTGCCAGCGCAAGATGATTCTTGAAAAGTAAGATGTGTCTGAGGCCATTCTTGGCATTTTATTAAGCATCTTAAGTCTCTATTTTTCTCTGGGGTAGGTGGTGGTGTAATTTTTCCTCAAATGAGAGAAAATGGAACTTCTCATTCCAAACTTCTTATTCCATTTAAGAGCAAGCCGTGTGGTGGCACCGGATAGCATGTTTGGCTAAGCTTAATATAAAAGTAAAAGTTCCTTTTAGTCTGTTTTTCTTTTTCAGACATATTGATAAGTTAATTTTTTATTTTAATAAATAAAGTTATTTTGATAGTAACTCTTACTTTATTGTCAAAATAATGTACTTATTTCCAATTTCGATCAGTAAAGCAATTTTTTTATTAAAAAACTTATGCATTTATAATTGATAATTGAATTGCATTTATAATTGATAATTGAATTAACTTAATAAGTTGACTTTTTGAGCTTAGCATAACATGCCTCACCGTCATGTTCATACAGTTTCTGTTTATAATTGAATTAACTTAATAAGTTGACTTTTTGAGCTTAGCATAACATGCCTCACCGTCATGTTCATACAGTTTCTGTATGTGGGCTTGATGGTAAAACCTGCCTCTCTTCTTCGTGGTATATAAAGGTTTAGATCAAAATACAGTTATTTCATAGCGCTTTCTGTTGCCAAATGATCACTAAACACTTCTTAATTCGATTCCTAAGATTTAGTTATTCTGCATTTAGATTAATAGCTAGCTTAGTAATGTATAACCACAGTTGCATATTTAAGAAAATTATCATGCTTCAGGGACCAAAGCGTGCACCTAAAGCTGGGGTGAAGAGGAAAGGTAAAGACAAGGATGAAGGTCAGAGGCGCAAGAAAAAACAATCTGTATGATCCTTGCAATTAGGTAACTTACAATTTTTTAAATGGTTAATGATTGTTTCTTTTCTTATTCACAATTTTGAATTAGAAGATAATTTACTCAATTTGTATTTGAATCCTTAAATCTCTTTATCAGTATGTTGGTTTTAAAGCATGTATTGTTATTTTGTCGAATTGTTTTGTGTACTTTGTGATAGTTACTGGAATTTTTGCCGTTCAAATTTCTTATTACATTTGTTGCATCAAAAAATATTCGTGGCACCTTAATTTTTGAAGGATTGTGGCCTCTCGTGACTGGATTATATAGTTCCAAATATTCGTAGATATTGTATGAAATGCAAAATGATCACATAATATAAAAATTCAAACTACAATAGCTTTGGGATTTTTTTTAACATGCATTTGGTCCATTGGACGAAATAGCGAAGTTAGTATTTATTTATTTTCCTGCGAGTTTGACAAGGTTTGAAAATCGATATCAAATATCTTATTTGAGGGTCTGGTTCAAGGTTTTGGATACTTGCTGGACATGGTGGGATGCTAAAAGGTCTCATGTCTAACGAGGATGTTTTGTAGTTGTGTATAATTGGTACACTGTCTTGTTCTTGAACTTATTTGACAATCACAATGGATTATTTGTAAATTAGGAAAAATAAAAAAATTAATCTTGACATGAGTCGAGACTTGTTAAGATCCGGAAATGATTTGTAATTTTTAATATTACAAGTGCAGAATCTTGACCTGGATTTTGATACGTTTTTCTGTATTTTTTATTCCTCGATCCAATTCAGGAATTAAAAAAATCATTTTTTAAAATAGCTCTTAATGATATTAAAGAAATCATCCAATTTTACTTTTATTGTTTCAATTTTGTTGAAATATCCGAGATCTACATTGGGTTTTTAAAATTATTGTGAGCTGTTTGGTATGATTTTTGAAAGGTCGAAAGAGGTTTTTGCATCTGTTTGATTAATTTTATGAAAGTGATTTTTCTACTTAGAAGAAGTTGGTTCAATGTGAATTTAAAGTCAAAACAATCATTTTAACTATACATTAATTGTTATTATTTTATCATTCTAACATTTCGTGGACTCGTTGCTCTTCATTATAATCTCATTATTACGAAACTCAATTATAAAAAATGAAGAATTTTTTATGAGATTGAATATAACTTTATCCCAGAGCGATTGATAAATCAAAATTCAATACGATGCTTTTGGAAATAGGCTTAGGTACCATGAAAATGATTCATTTAGTTGATTTTGCAAATGACTTGCGATTTAATTATGTGAATAGAAATAGTGTACTTATGCATGATATAGTGAAAGATTAATAAATATTGAAAGCTTGCATTTATGAAATACCTTAGGATCTCTATCTCTGTCTTCATCTCCCTTCCTCGGACCAACAAATTATTACAACATAGATTTCTGCAAACAATTTACAGTAAATATTCATTTTTTAATATTACAATTAAATATTTTCTTCAGTAAATAAAGACATCTTTGTCAGGTATNCTTCAGTAAATAAAGACATCTTTGTCAGGTATTTGATATAATTGGCAAGTTTGTGAACAAAAAGGGACTAAAATCAATATGTTGTAAAAGTCAACGAGTAATGTGCAAATAATAGAAATTGAATTATATTAGGTCTAGGGTTTGAGAATTGAAAAGATGGAAAAATGGCGCCGCAATTTCGCTAGGCTATCTTCATGATTTGGCTCGAGCGTTAGAAATAGTAACACTGTTGCTAGCCTGTCGTCAGGGCTTCGCTCGAGCGACAGGGTTATCCGGAGAATTTTTATTTTTATTTTTTAAAGTTTTTTATCCGACTCATTCATTCTTTAACATACATATAAATATCAAACGCCTCTAAACGTAAATTCTAAGGTTGAACATTAAGAAAATATATCTTCTCCATATCATCTTCATCAAATAAACTTTCAACATTCGTTCTGTGATTGGTTCTTGGAGGTGAAAACATCAAATCCACAATTCAAATTCCAAACTCTTACTTCCTATATAGCTGTCAGAGTTTTGAAGATCAAGGGAAGGTGACTAGAGTTCCAGACGTTGAAGAACGCAAAGTTCTGTTTATTTACAGGAGAGAGAAGAATTCACAAAATCGGAATTTGCTACAGGAGCGCACAATTCAGAAGGGTTTTGAAAACTGCATTTGAAAGTTGATGCATGGGCACGAAATTCAGGAGAGCTGTGAGAATTGCAGTCAGCAGGTCAGAAAGTATTAGTAGTAATCGAGTCGGTGGACTGTAAGTTTTAATTTGTTTATAGTAGATTGTTACTGGCAAAGTACCCGGAGTTTTTATCCAATTGAGATTTCTCCGTGATCATTTCTTGTGTTTATTATTGCTTTCATACAACTGCAGTATTTCAACATAAGAAATTAAACTGTTTGATTAATCATTTAGAGATAATTAATAGTGACTTGTTGCTAATTAATTATTAAGTTTTTAATTCCGCATAATCACCTTAACCCTCCGTCTAGGTGTAGTTTGGGTCGAACTTCGTTATTTCAATTTTAAAAAAATAC